TGAGCAGAGACGCCATCTCGTGTTGCAAATTATATACACCTATATCTAATGATAGCTTAGCGCCGTCTGTCTCGTCTTGTTATTAATAAGGTGATATATCATAACAAGTTGATGACGTAATAAAATTCATAGACTGTGTGTGAAGACGTATCCAGCTTGGGCAGGCGTTATGCAAAGAACGATTTCCGACAGCCCATGAGTGTACTTTAATTTAGATTAAATTCTATGACGCCATATTGTGTCATCGATATTTTTTGAATAGGTTCACAGGGTGGCTCGGATCATGGTGTTTAAAATACAGTTTTTCTCTTAAGGAGATTAATATTCAGTGTTAGTTTCTCTGAACACTTTATTGCTTTTAGACGCATCTGTTCAACAGTTTATGGAGACTTATCACTTCTGAAGAACTTGATTTTAGCACATTTTATCCACATTTTTTCTCTCTTTGTTAAAACTTAAGTTAATAAACAAGAGCAGACACTGTCACTGCTTTATAAAAAGTAAAGGTATCCCTGTAACAGGCCGTGAAGGCCCATAGGGTTGTGGTTCAGTGTCCCACATTATCTAGACAATCGGCTCAAATATGGCGGTAAGGTTGTCAGGCTTACACGCTGGCCGCGCTTTACTCCCCAGAAAAATTATTTAATTCATTCCTGGTACTCATTTCTGTTAGAGGCTGAGTCGATCCCAGGGCCATAGTGAGGCCGGAAGGATTAGGTCAATTGAAAAAAAAATCCAATGACCTAATCGGGACTCGAACCCACGACCTTTCAGCTTGTAGCATAGCCCATCAACCAACTACGCTACCGCATGCTCCGTCACTGCTGTATACTCGTAGATTATATTTTTTGTTTGTAGAAGCCGGGATATCTCACTTGGTATAGTGATGGCCTTGATATCCAGGGTTCGATTCCCGGTATTGGAAATAATTTTTCTCTAGTCCACAGTGTTCACACCGGCTCTGTGGCTCACGCAGCCTCCTATCCAATGGGTACCGGGATATCTTTCCCAGCGATAAAGCGACCGGGGAGTGAAGCTGACTACTCACCTCCATTTAATACCGAGGTCAAGAATGGAAGAGCTTTATTGCCACGCCCCTATACGTCTTCATGGCATGCGGCTTAATTAATTAAGCACAGGAACAATTTGACCTGTTCTCTGCTTTACATTTTTATATTTACAGTTCCGGTAATTTATTCTCCATATTTTCGTCTATTTCAAGTGACACTCGACATCCCAGGTAATTAAAACACGAAACAAGGGAAATTTTTCTTCCCTTGAAATAGTTTTCCGCTAGTTCTGATTTTAGATAATGTAAAATCGCAATGGAAGCGATAGTTTCTAAACATGCATTGAAGTGAGTGGAGTGAAGTGTTCAATGATTGCTTTGTTGTTGGCTACTTTTGAATTGCTCCTGAGGATTCTCGTTTGTTGTGACGTAACGGATCTGATAAGCCTATCATTACCTCAGAAGGACCACCTCTGTCCCGAAACTAGCCGGGCGATGCGATACCCATCTTGAGCACTCGATACAGACCTGCTGTGGGTGGGCTGCTGGAGCCTGTGCTTAAGGGGGCAGCACTGTGTGTGGTGCCACTTTTAATTATCACAGAATAGTAGATTACAAAGTCAATTAATTTTATTCAGAGGACAGTAGGAATAAAGTAAATGAATTTCGACTGGGCTAACATTCTTCTAGCATGGGAAAGGAACATCCAATAAATTCCTGGATTTGACGTAGTTAACCTGGCTTTGGGGCGTGTTACAAGATTTAATTTATTGTGTGATATTTGGTATTCTCACGTCTATGACTATAAAGAGCTGACTCATAGAAAGTGACTCTCTGCACTATGGTAAGATGTTTACGAACGTTTAGGAAGAAAATTCTGCTTCTGTGTTCATGTTAGAAGAGGAAGTTACACAGTAAAATAGGGGCCAGTGATATAAGTAAAGAAAGATAATATTAAAAGGGAGGCTGTATTCCAAAAGAAGAAAAGGAAGATCCAGGCTTAGATGGCGAGATGATGTTGGGAACGACCTGAAGAAGATGAAGGTGAAAGGATGGATAGTGAAGATGAGGAATAGAGAGCAGTGGAGACTGATTGTAGAGGAGGCCAAGGCTCACCCAGGGCTGTAGCGCCGAGTGGTAGGTAGGTAGGATACAGGTAAAGAAGAACAAAGATGGATCAAGAGACCGAACCAGTTGGAGCGGTGTAATATGAAATTCTGTGACTTTGAAGACAGCCGCAATTGTAGGCAAGAACAGGATAAGTTTCATAAGACAAAGTAATCCTTAATTATAAGATGGATGAATAACAATTAAAAAAATGAAATTAGTCTTTTTCATTAAAGCAGAAAAGAGAAATTTGTCTCTGTGGCTAACTAATTAAGCACTACACCACGAAGGCGTATGAGAGTTGCATGTATAGATCCAGGTTTTCTTGACCTCGGCATTAAATGGAGGTGAGCGACCAGCTTCACGCCCCGGCCGCTTTAACCCCATCACCCATTTTATGGGAAGCTGGGTCGGCCCCACAACCGGTCTGGACGAAGTGGAGGTAAGAATATTTTTGCCCCTATCGGGAACCGAACTCCGACCCCTCAGCCGTCGAACCCGTAGCCAGTCTCTATACCGACTGAGCTGTCCCGGCTCATATTAGTCTCATTCATAGTTGAATAAACACGCTGCCCTTATATTTCACTAAGTCAGTGTTTCTCAGCCGCTTGCTACTCGCTGACCGATAAGAGGGATTTCCGAGGACTAGTACCAAGGCGGCCGGCTCCATAAAATAACAATATGTACTCAGCGGTGCTGCTATCTAGAGAATCAGTTCCGCAAAGGTGGACACAGCAATGCCGTCTCAAACATACTGTTGCCATCTTCTGTCCCTGTTCGTAATTACTTCATCACGTACATAACGACAGAATGACAAAGTCATTTTATATAGATGTATAAGTTATTATTGCGGCTGTCGTCCCTAAAGATATTTAAAATACACAGAATTAACCTATATTTTTGGCTTCAAAATACTGGAGACGTCACAATTGCTCACACTGAATATCCACAATGAAATTAAGGCGTATGGTACAATTCTGTTGGCTGGACGGCCGGGGTTAGATTCCCGGCAGGAACAAGAGACCTTTGTCTGCAGAGCCCAGACTGGCTCTGGTGCCCACCCAGCCTCCTACCCAATGGGCACCAGAGGCCTTTTTCTCCGGAGATACAGCGGCCGGATTGTGAAGCTGACCACTCACCTGAATTTAGTGCCGAGTTCAAGAAACGGTGGAGCTATACCTCCAGTCCCGATACGTTTTCACGGCATGATGCTTAATTAATTAAGCACAGGGACAACTTTACCGTTTGTCGGAGCATCCTGTATTGTGCTGGCATGCAGTGGAAGGGAAATAATATATCTGATTTATCTCGTGAATGTCTTCGTCTACTCAAACACTGGGGTCGTGGGTTCGAATCCACCTGGAAGCATGGATATCTGTCCGTGCCTCTTCTGTGTCTGTGTTGTTCTGTGCAGGTAGCGGTCTTGCGACAGGGCTGATCCCCCGTCCAAGGAGTCCTACGGTCTGTGGATAAGATCCATAGTTCCAGATTAATTCTGTAGGGAAACGGGCCAGACGGCCTAATAAGAAAGAAGAATAAGAATAAATTGGTGGCTTTTATGCTGTAAAGAGGCAATAAGTGAACGAACGCGCCAGAATCATTGCGCTATGTGCACTTTCTCTAATTTGTTTTTCTTCTACCGAAAGTTACGGTCGAGTGGTTACAGCTACCAACCCATATTCGCCAGGTGCTTGCCTCCACTTCGGCCCCGAGACTCTCTGAGGCCTTTAATGGTTGTAGTCTGTCGTCCTCGGCAAATTGTGGAATATTGCATTAAAATAAGGCAGAATCGCCTTCCTTCTCATTGCTCACAATTCATAATTCACAGTCCTACAACCTTTCGACTCGAAATGGCGCAACCAGTTACAACCGAGACATACATTGCTGGCTGATGTATGTGGTGTTTGATAGAAAGTACATGCCTTGCTGTCTTTTTAAAAACATGTTTGCAATTTTTTAGCCCTACGAATTATACTGTCACATGATTACATGTGACTACAGACGAGGTTTGGATTGGTAATCGGATTTATTGAACTCTTACACGTAAGGATTATGCTCTCACTGTTCTACGCACTTCACAAACCACTATAGGACACACTACGTCTCCTCAGTCTGTTACAGTCTTCGCTAGCCGTTGCTTGGCAGCGGCTTTCAACGGCGGACGTTCTCCTTTCTCTGGGTTCCCAAACTGTCCCGGGCCTGAGCTATCAGCTTCTCACACCATCTCACAGCAACTCAACCACAGCGGTTATCTAACTAATTCACTGACCTACAAACCAAGTGACTCACTCCTAACTTATCCTGCTTATAACATCTGGCCACGGACCGTACAGAAAACACCGTTCCTCTGTTGCATTGCAATTGTTGAGTTCATGTATGCTGGGGTTCCCACGTGATCGCTGCTCAGCCACTGCTTAGCAACAGCCTTTTTTTTTCAGAGCCATTACTTCGCAACGGCTGTTGTATAGTTGCTGCGGTCGTTGCTTAGCTACGGGTCTGCATGCCACATTACGTTACCATGGAGATATACAAACAGAATAATGTTCTCTGTAGACCGAAAAGTTGGTTTAGAGGTAACGCTCTCTCGTCTTGGGCACCGGTTAACCTGGTTGAGTTTTATAGTGGGTTTCCTGGCCCCTCCAGAGGCAGTACCTCGGTACCCTGATCAGACTTCGACCGCGTCTTTACAAATCCTTTCCATCGTACCGTCGGATGCTATACAGCTTTAAATAACGCACGGGAAGTTCTCAGAGTAAACACTAGCACGAAGTGGACGAATAAACCAAGTACATGTATGCGTGTTATGCACCAGCTCCTGTTCTGCCCTCCCTTTGTGGAGAGGCGTGATGCGGTCTCCATGTCTCATGGTAACTGCATGTTGCAGGTGACTACATAAAGGACAAGTACGACGGTGCAACGGAGGTTCGCATTAACAGGCGGGGGCGCCTGCAGATACGGGACCCGCGCTTCAACAAGCCCACGGCCAATGACCTGGTATACATCGATGACTCCCCCAACTACTGCGTCCGCAATCTGAGCGTCGGCTCCCTAGGTAAGACGACCACTCTGTCACCACTGTTACTACAATATCATCATTGTGTTGTCAAACTTATTGTTGTATGTTGGTGTTGGTATTGGTTTTAGCATTGATGTTGGTATTGCTGATGTTCCTGTTGCTTTTATCATTAGTATCCTTGGCATTAGTATTAGTGTTGCTGTTTATGTTGGTATTTGTGTTAGCATTGGTGGTGATATTGTTGGTGTTGCTATCTACCTAGCAACTACCTCCCTTCTGCATGCCTCCCCGCTTCCTCCAATTGTCAGTTGCACATTGATTTATGTTCTGCCCGTAGGCTCTCTCTCCTAACATTCTCAGTTTGTTACTGGTGTTGATACTGGGGAAATGTGCACTGTAGGTAGAATGGGAGAGGGAGCAGCTGACTTGAACTCTCACCACCCATGTTCATTCTTTCCCTGACCCAAATATAGGCCTATGCTATTTTCTTGATCCATTAAGCACAGCATGTTATTACTGTTTAATTTAGTAAGTATGAACTAAAGCCATATCAAGATTGTAGTTAAATGTATGTAATGTTTTAGTAATCTGATATTTTTTTTGGAACAATGTTAAAATATTCTGCAGAACTTATAGTAATGTTTGGACTAAAGAGCCATGAATGCTTAAATACCTACATCTTTCTAATTTGTGTGTTGGCAGGTACTCACGGTCGGATGTGTAACAGGACGTCCCAAGGGATGGATGGATGTAACCTAATGTGTTGTGGCCGAGGTTATAACACACAAAAGACCACAGTACGAGAACGGTGTGACTGCAAGTTCCACTGGTGCTGCTATGTTGACTGTAAGATTTGTGTGAAGACTGTAGATGTCCACACCTGCAAATGAAGCAATTGTCAGCTGAAGGAAGTGATAAGTGTACTGCCATATAAATGTGAAGGTGTGCTGCAGATGGTGATGCAGATGAGCAGACTGTTACAATGAATCTCAGTATATACCCAAATGTCTGACACAAGAGGGAGCATTTGCACCTGTAAATGAAGTAACAAAATGACTGATTGTTTTGTCAGAATGTACCACTACATGCATATGCTCAGAATAAGAGGTATTTACACTTGTAAATGGGGCAGCAAATTAGCTGAACAAGGTTTCATAGTGTAACACTTAGTGCACATGAAATGTGTGCCACAACAAGAACCAATTTTAAACTGTAATTCAGGTAGAAACATCTGTGTGAGATGTCAGGTTGTAACAAAAACGAACCTTAAATGTGTGCCTTAAACGGGAAAGAATGGCACCTGTAACTGTAAGTGAGGCAACATATAGCAAAATAAATATTCAGAATGTAACATATTAAACATGAAGTATAAGCCAAAACAAGAAACATTTTCACCTATAAGTCTGGCAGCAAAACAGCTGAACATATCTTCAGAGTGTAATATGTATAAATATGAAATCTTGCCACACCAAGGAACATTTACACCTGTGAATCAGGCAGCAAAATAGCTGAATGAGTTTTCAGAATGTAAAATAAATATGAAATCATGCCACAACAAGGCACATTTACACCTGTGAATCAGGCAGAAAAGTAGCTGAACAAGTTATCAGAATGTAACGTAAATAAATATGAAATCATGCCAAAACAAGGCACATTTACACCTGGGAATCAGGCAGAAAAGTAGCTGAACAAGTTATCAGAATGTAACATAAACATGAAATATAAGCCAAAACAAATATTTTCGCTTGTAATTCTGGCAGCAAAATAGCTGAATAAATCTTCCAAGTGTAATGTGGATAAATATGAAATCATGCCACAACAAGGCGCACTTACACCTGCTGAATAAGCTCTCAGAATATAACAGATAAATATGAAATCTGTATGACAGCGAGAAACATGCACACCTTTAAGTAAGGTAGCAAAATGGATGAATATATATCAAAATTATCTGCTACATCAGTGTTAAGTATGTGCCCCACACCACGACAACTAACATTTACACATGTAATTGAGATTGGAAAATATCTGGCTAAGATCTAATGCTAATATAAACTGTGTGCCACAGCAAATAATACTTATGTCTAAAAGTTTGGTGTCAAAGCAGTTGAACAAGTTCTTAGAATGTATGTGTACATAAACTTACAAGATGTGCCAGAATAACATTTATGCCTGTAAATGAGATAGTAAAATAGTTTACTGAGTTGTCAGACACTATATAACTTTTGAAATGTGTGCCATAACAACTAACATATACAGCTGTGGGAGGAGAGAAAAAACAGACAAAAGGATATTAGAGTACATGGCCTAAAAGAGCGAATATGGCTATGCAGGAGGGTTCATACCGATGAACTATCAGACTATACAGCCTCTTTGTTGTATGCAGAACTTCTTCATGCTTATTTATACTGGTGAAGGGCTGACCTACTGATCAGTATCCTCTCTGGCTGAGGAGAATGCTGGGAAAGGCTACTTCCCCCATGTTTCTTGAACCAGCTGAACCGTTGAACTGCAGCCAGAGGCTTCTATGCATTCAGGCTTAGAATTCTAGACACAGTTTGCCTGTAGTGCTACATAAACGTGACAACTAGATACTGCAGCAAATTCCTATACTTGTACACAAGAGGCAGATTCATGTGGTCAACATGTCAGAAAATATTGGCAGTGCAGGGAGAATTCAAGATCAACTTATTTTCAGCAAACAGCAAGAACTGAAAGGTGACAGATTCCTGCAGAGTGATTCAATTGAAAAGCAGGAGGTGCTATATATAGCAACCACTGTTATTTAAAGCTTAAGTTCAGTACTTTATAAAAAAATAAAGCTGTCCCTGTAAGAGGCTGTGAAGATCCATAGGGTTGTGAGACGTCAAGGCTCCCACATTTTCTAGACAGTCGGCTCACAGATGGTGGTGAGGTTACCAGCCTTACACACCGGCCAATCCTGGTACACATTTCTGTTATAGGCTGAGTCGACCCCAGGGCCACAAAGAATATAAACCAATTTTATGGTAAGACTAAACTTAAAACACACAGCGTAACAGGGGATAATTCATAATTCATTACCATTAGTTATGGTCCTGGTACTGCTTCCCCTTCTATCCTTACAACTTTTTACATTCTCGGCTTACACTTCTACACTGATGAAAGGTAGAAGCTCCCTCTGAAACTTTTGTAATTATCTAAAACATGACATAACAGCACATCCCAGAAGGGAGTGATCTGAAATCTTGTGAACATGATCTGCCTAATCATTTGTTAAGTGCAGTGAGCAGGAAACCATTTTAGGGTTGGACACCAGAAATTATGGATACTTCATAAAATGTTAATGAACATGTCCAGCTCTGGTTATGAGCAGGGATTGAAACTTTTTAAGAGCAGTGAAACAAGATATTAAACACTGACTCAGTTTGGAGACTATCGTTAAACTGTATTAAGTTGGAAAAGAATGTTCCATAAGCGTGAATGACATGTCATGACACATAACATAGAACTGTGTAGTATTTATTTTATTATTATGCAACTGTAACTTGTAAAAACCTTATTTGGTGCAGAGAGGAGGTAATGGGAAGGAGCTGCAGGAGAACAGAGTGACTGCGCTCTTCTCTGGCTAGGCCTATACTGTTCCAAATAGTGATGTGTGAACTGGACTTAGAGAATTAACGAATACGTGTTTAATATTTTGATGTACAGTTTTGTATTATTTAAATTATAATTTGGACTGATCTTATGTAAGTGGAGGATATTACAATGATACTACATCCTTAGTGCAAATTCTGAATTTTTCCCCCATTACATGTTTACCACCATAAAGTGACAAGGTTCTGAACAAGGTTAAATATCACTATATAATCTTTTCCTCTTAACTGAAAAAGGGAAAATATATGATATTGAAGATTATATTTGTAAATATGTACATATAAACACACACATTATATATATAGTTTTCTTCAGACAATGAAGAAAAGTTTCATCATCTCTGTTCTTTATTCAGTTTGGCAGACATGGTTTTGTCTGCTGGAATGTTTTTGAGGAATCTCTGCTTTTGGCAGTGAATCTACTATACATTTTATTTGTACACTGCTGTCAAGGGGAATTCTCTAACCAGATAACATCCTATTATCAAGGAATGCCATATTTCTTTCATATGTTTGTGAAACATTTTTTCATGTAGAATTTTTATACACCTAATTTATGTATTATACGAACCATCTGGCAAAATATGAAGCATTATTATTGTGTGTGTATTCAGTTTTTTCAATATGAAAAGCCATTTCAACCTGAACAAATTAAAGATAAAAATCCATTATATAATTTCAATAAAATTACATACAGTTTTATGTGTCACACTGTAAAGGGGAATGCCAGAGACACTGGGGTGAAATCGAAGGCTACGTAAGGCAGAATGGGGCTATATTATATTTAAGCATCCTATTGCACTATACACTTCTATATATAATAATACAAATGCCGTTGTGAATGCAGCAATTTATTTGGTTGTAGATCTTTTTCTTTTCTTCCTCTACACTACATGTTTCGGCTGTAATTGGCCATCATCAGGTGTATTTTTCACTACATAGCTGTCACACTGCACACAGTCCAAAATCTAAAACATTAGGCTGTCGGTTTTGGTGTATTTTTTCACCAACACATGCTCATCAATTTGATTTTAGAATTACAGTTTAAAATTTAAAATTTCCAAAATTTAAAGTTCAAAATTTAAAGTTTTAAATACCAGGGACACCTGCTCTTGTCTGCATGTGCTGCAGCGGCTATTTCTTGTTTTTAGCACTGTTCATGTATTATTCTGTGCAGGCTCCCTGTATGTGTGTGTGTCGCTGCTCATCTTGGGCAAAAGTATTAAAGATGAGCAGCGACACACACACACATACACACACACACACACAGGGAGCCTGCACAGAATAATATATGAATGGTGCTGAAAACAAGAAATAGCCGCTGCAGCACATGTAGACAAGAGCAGGTGTCCCTGGTATTTAAAACTTTAAATTTTAAACTGTAATTCTAAAATCAAATTGACGAGCGTGTGTTGGCAAGATTTTAAAACAAAACTGACAGGCTGATGTTTTAGATTTTGGACTGCGTGCAGTGTGACAGCTACGTAGTGAAAAATACACCTGATGATGGCCAATTACGGCCAAAACATGTAGTGTAGAGGAAGAAAAGAAAAAGATCTACAACCAAATAAATTGTTGCATTCACAATGGCATTTGTATTATTACATACAGAATGGGGCATTAAAAAGGAATACTCTCACCTGTACATGATCCTGTAATTTAGCTCATAAAATGATACTAAGAAAGAGAGATTACAGAGGCTTTATTAAAACAATATAAAAAATTAGTTAAGCTGAATGAATTTTATGGTCCTTATACAATTAAGAAATTCCAGGTCATTAGATTTACTGTAGCGATTTCAACTGAAGTTCTGTACTGAGGTTGTAAGGATTATTACTTTCAGTGGCGCTACCTGTGCAAAATCAATTTTCCATTTCTAAATAACCATATTGATTTGTAATGCAGATGTATTTTTTCTAGAAGGAGGGAGTGAAAGAGATTCATAATTTACCTGCTCAGTTGATGATGTTAATTTTCAGTTATCAGTAAGATACTTGTGTGTCTGTTCAGACTGTTAGGCTTCTGCTTACTAAGTATAACAGCCTTCACGTTGTTTCTGAAGTCTGATAATGTACACGGCCAGTCAAGTATGCTACAAAACACTGTGAACAGAAGTGCAATATTAGTTTTGTTTTGTCACGATATCAAAATATTGTGCAATATTTCACTATATATAGAATGCTCATGCCATACGAGTGACAGTCCTTTTTAGACTCAGGATGCAATATAGCAAGAAGAAGAACATTGAAATTAAGTAAAAAACACCCTGCTCTCTATCTGGGAGACCCAAGACTCAAATCTCAGATCAGAGACTGGCTATCCTGACAGGTATTTTATGGTTTCCTTCAGGCTTTGCATTTTTAAGGAGCAGACTCTGTACTCTGTACTTAATGTCTTTATGATTCCAAATTTGATTTGTTAGTGTTGTCTCAAATTTTTAAACTTTGTCACATTTACAAAGGACCTCTTAAAATTATGAAGTTGCCCTGCATCCTAGTGACTCGGCATATGATACAATATCTGTCATGTACTGGGGAAGTGGATAACTTAAAAAGTGAGCTCATTATATTACATGCTGAAAGAAGTGGTAAGTCTTCTGACTTGTATTTGGAAGGTGTTTGGTTTGAATCTTGGCCAGGCCACTGACTATGCTAATTGAGGCTTTCATAGTTCTTCCTTAATCCCTCTAGGCATATATCAGGATAGTGTCTTAAATTAGGCCTTGACAACTTCCTTCCATGTTCTTTCATATACATTATTTCAGTCATTCAACACTACAGAGCCTGAGTTACTAACAGTGTTAACTAAACTACAGTAAATAAGCAAAACATATTAGAATCAAGACTACAAACCAGAAGAAGTTAACATTCCTGTCACCCAAAGCACATAAATGACCTCCAAGCAGCACTTTCTCTGAGCAAATATAATTAAGAAGATCTAAAAAAATTGTGCTAGAATCATTAATTCCATGAAGAAAGGTCATCTGAAGAATCTGATAGTTTTTCAGGTGGTCAAGAAGTGGATCCCTTGTCATGTTCATAACGGCCTTTCATTTGACACTACATCCTGAACCACTAAAATCCAAGTAGTTACTATAGGATTCTGACGATGGTGTATAACACACTGATATGTTGGGATTTTGGACTTTATCCATCGTCCTGGTTTTTAAGATAACAGTCCAGTGATTGAGGCTAGCTCTTTCTAAGGGACCCAACTGAATAGGTGTTTTCCTTCACCTGAGGACGGAAACAGATCCAGTTTCCGTAACGTTGTGTTTTTTATTTGTTATCTTAAAAACCAGGACGATGAATAAAGTCCAAAATCCCAACATATCAGTGCACTAAAATCCAGCTTAAACTGTCAGACACCCAAATTTTCTAAGATATATTATAATATTATTCTCACACTTGTGCATACCTCTCCCAAGGAGTGTTTTCCCCTCAAGCTGTTCGGACTATGAGTAAAACGTTACACGCAAGTCTCATTCTCCAAATATGAGCTACAAATCTCATCCATCTTAAATATATTAAATTAAGCATTGTTGACAATATTAGGCAAAGAGTGGAAATTATGAAACTCATTGTTATGTAGTTTTCTCTGTCCTGTTATTTCATCTCTCATAGGTCCTAACATTCCCCTCAGCACTTTGTTATCTGGTACACTGTCTTTACAATAGTGGTAGTGAAATTTAATTTCTCCCACTGGTTCTTTTAGACACTTTACTTATGTCCCTTGAAAGTAAGCTGTAGCTAATCATGATTCAAGAAAAAATAAAGTTTAGGACTAACAGATGTAAAATTTGTATTTACATGTGCAGTTATGATGTGATAAGCATGAGCAACTGTAGATGTTTCGTTAAATGCTTTGTAGTTATGAGCAACACTTTGGTCTAGATATAAATTGAAACTACTCTTAGGATGGCTGGTAGTGTTACTACCACAAGTTAATGTACATAGATAAGTATTTGTCATAATATTATTTGTATTATTCACTGGGAGTTGTGTGAATGTTGGTGTAATTTTGTCATCGATGAGTAAGATATGAGAATTAACAATATTGTAACCAGCAGTATTAAAATATATGTATTGTTGAGTCCTAAATAATTCTGAGTTTGGTAATTCACGTTTGCTAGAGTTTTATTTAAAAAGGTCGAAGTTACTTCTGCAATTCATCACAGGAAAAAATATTAGAACATTAATAATGGTACTTAGAAATTAAAATAAAATATGAAACGCCCCTACCATTACTTTATGAAATTGTTTGGTAATCATGAGAGCAAAAAATAGTAATTTTTGCATGCTTTGTTATCTTTCCCGGAGTATAATGGGCCTATTGAAACAGTGTCCTCTTAATAACAAACTTGTACTGGTATATTATTTTTTGTAGTAAAGCAAAGGAAAATGTGAAATATAAAATGAACCACTGAATACATAAGTCTAGAAAGTTTAGTTCCTCTTCCAACCATTACTGACAAATAATACCACTTAGTGTGAAATGGTTTTCATTTATTATAATGCTGATTCCCATTATTCTCCTTAAGAACTGAAATCAAGTGGAGATGGTTTCCATATTCACACTCAAATTAGAATATAAAATTAAGTGTGAAATTTATGATTGGTACACTTCTTACAACACCCTAGGTCTTCTCAGACACACTGCAGGAAGTTACATTACTGTCTAATTGGAAAATATTAGGTATCATTAGATTTTAATTACTTGTAATATACACAGGTTAAATCACAAATTTTTATTTATTCATATTGCTGATACTACAAATATTATGCTTCTGGACATTATCCATAATCCTGCTTTTATCTAAAACACTGTCCTGTTTATATTTCAAAATGCAATGTTTCGGAGACCAGATTCTATCTCCGTCTTTAGGTAAAACCTACTCAGCTGGGCCCAATCAATAAAGCTAGTCCCTATCTCTGGACACTGTACCAGCACAAAGATAAGGTATTCAAGCCAAGAACAGAACAAACCATCTGCAAAAGCATCTTTCTGACAAAAGAGAGTCATAATTCCCTGTTCATTGGAGGATTATTATGATAGGCTTTTCACATATTTTAATATGGTAGTTGTGCCACTCTAAAATGAAACATTTCCCCTAGTAGTAGCAGCAGCAGTAAGGCTGTTGTTAATACTAGTTCATGGCTAACAGAATTAATGCCATTTGAAACCTGTTTTTATAGGGACAATTTTTACTAATATCTTTTTTTCAAGCATCTCTGTATACTACTCATATTTGTAAAGGTTGTTCATCTCCATTATGCACCCTAAGGAGAATTTTGAATGGATCATGAGCACAGAATGGTGTGGACACTATTCACACTGCACTGCAAACACAATGAGACATGGTTTGGGATAAGGAAGGAGATTTGAAGGGGGTTGTGATATTTCATGTGACTGGCTGCTCTTGTTATTAGTTTCATTAGACAGTAATGGCCAAGCAGAAGAACAGATCTCAATGCACATATCTTAGAGCACTTCTAAAGAGCTTTGGCAGCTGGTGAATAAGTGCTAGAAATAATGACTTAATGTTAAGAAATCTTATTCTGAAAAAAAAAATGCATTACAATGACATGTAGCAAACAAAGAAATAAAGAATGAGGTTCTCTTGGGTTCAGGTAAGTTTATTCTAGGAATTTACCTTCTTCATCATCAAGTCAGTCAATCAGCCATTCTCTTCATTATCATCACTTTGCCTATCATGTGTGTAGGCATATATTATTATTTAGGTTGTCTGTTAATATAACGAATAAATTATAACATGTGACTTTGTAGTCTGGTACATAGATATGAATGTTTTGGGGCAACATTTTGTTTATAGGTGGTGGCATGTAGTTTGATGCAGAGGTACCAGTAATTTGGAAGAACGTGATGACCGTCAAGATCTGTAAACACTGCGTAAAATAGCCCTCCTATAGAGAATCACCTTTCTACTCTGAAGATGGCAGCAGTTGCATTCCCTGAAACGCGGTTCCTTTCCCAAGCCAAACGCAATCACATTCTTCTCACTTACCTGTTATTTGTATTCACAGTTCTTAACAATCTTCAAAATAAATTACACAAGAAGTAGGAGGTTTTGGACAGCTGCGTTTAAAATGGTGTAATATTCGGCGATATCCAAGAAATTCGAATTTAGCGCTACAACCGATGGCAGTCGGATGTGGTAGAGGCCGACAAAATCCAATCTCTTTTTAGTCAGCAACTCGAATTTATGGTGTCTGTATTAACATGTTATTGTAGGCTGTTCTGTGATCAGATAGTTGAATAAAACCGAATAAGAAATAGATTCAAGGTGTGAAATTATGGGTTCATTAAATTAATTTCGTCCATCTTCGGGAAGTTTATATTTTCAGTTGTGGCGACATTGGTCAGTGTGGTAACAAATGTCTGGTGGTGTCGTGTTAAGTAAAGTTGTGCAGAGGAAGGAAGTGTTATCTTCAGGTGATGACACCGACAGCAGAAAATGCGTCACTTAATTCATCGATCATTGATTTAATGTGGTATTATGTGTATGAATTATCAAATTGGGTGCTTGGTGTGTTGGGCCTGACTTCAAATATCGCAGTTGATTCGTGGTCTGCCTATTTCATAGGCGATTGCTATGCCAGTGTTATTAATTGGTTAGCTTTTGATGAATTTCAGATTAAACTATTGAAAGGATTCTTGTTTATCTTATGTGCAAATATATGCTTAATTTATATGTCTTGGAAAATATATGGCAAAAGGATATCAGAGAAGTTTATGAGACCGGGTAAGTTCCTTGCCTGAACTGTGCAGTCATGGAGATATTTTTCATTCATTCATTCATTCATGCTTACTAATCCTATAGATCAAATTACACTGATGTAGGACATGTCATTTGATATTATTTGATATTCTAATATGTGATTCTCTATAATGGAATGCTCACAGTAAATTATTTCACTTCTTCAGTAACATCAAAGACTATTGAAGATTTAAAAAGGAGCGTGTCATCGTTGAAGCTTCCCAAAGAACATTCACCAAGAGTTTAAGTGATATTATTGCCTAAGAAGATATAACAGCAGTATGGCTGATAAAATAAAGAAGTTTTTCCAGAAAAAGAAGGTGGATGCGAGGTTTAAGTTAGCAGGTCCAGGTCACAGATTGACTGGTGAGAATACTTCTCAGAATAGGACTGATTCTCGTAGTTCCTACACTGTTGCTCCACGTTCGGCTCCATCTACAGAGTCCAGACAAGCAGCTGCAGCTGCTCTTGCACGACTAGACGGGCAAAAGCAGGACCATGCAGGATTTAATACGTAAGTATTGTTTTTATGTTTTACACTTTTTACATGCAGTCAATAGAGCAAATAGCCTATGGTATGGAAAACTAAGAAATTTAAACTGGATTCCCAGAAGGGTGAATAGAGATTTTTCCAGTCTTCACAATATTCAGTATGAATGATTTTGGGGTCCAACCAGCTTCCTATCTGGTCCTTACTGGGGGTGTACTCTTTCCAAGATGTAAAGTGGTCAGCCCATGTATAGTCTCAATTTCTAATAACAAACTGTTTGAATATCTGAATTTCGTTCTCATACTTGTGCACTCTTCTGTTCAACAGTTCTCTTGCGGCTATTCAGGCCCAGGTGCGAAGGGAACTTGAAGCTGAAAAGAAAGCAGCAGCTTTAGCAGAAAAGGAGGCTTCACTTGCAGATGCTCAGCCAGGACAGCAGGACGAGTCATCTTCACCCTATTTAGCTGTCACAGGAGTCTTCTTCAGATGTCCAATGATTGGTTAGTTTTTGTATTTGAAAATAAGTGTGTGTGTAATTAGTATGGGAGAACTTAACATTATGGTGACTGTTAATGCCTCTTGAGGGATAGGAATTGTGTGTATTATTGACAGGCCAAACATAAACTGTTTTAACATTCTTGACACTCCTGACCTGCTCTAAAATTGGTTTTATTCACTGTTACTAGTCCAAAAACAAACCATTCTCTCTTACTCTGTGCAGCTTACTGTATTTTATTTTGATGAATTGTCACTCCTTGTGACACTAATACAAACCATTGTCAGCCAAGGCCTTTTATGATACATGGTTGTCCACTTTGTTCATATAACTGTACCATGTCTTCATGTCAGTTTTAACTTTACGCATTATTTTAGTCACTGACATCACAGTTGCCTGCTTTTCTGTTGTCTTTAACCATTGCTATTTTTAATCAATATAGGCAAAAGAAGATGTACAAGTAAGATGTTTTCTGTAAGCATACTGTAACAACACGGGCTACTTATAAGAGGATGTATAGAATACTTACTTACTTGCTCATGGAGCTGAGCCCTTCTGGAGGAGCTGCCAATTCTGCAGCTACTCAAGAATTTCCCAGCATTTTATGGAACCCGAAGGTTCATTACCGTGTTCACGAGAGCCCTCCACTGGTCCCTATCCTGAGCCACATCTATCCAATCCATACCATTCCATCCTATATCTCTAAGATCCATTCTAATATTGTCCACCCACCTACGCCTTGGTCTTCCCTGTGGTCTCTTTCCTTCTGGCTTTCCCATCAACATCCTATACGCATTCCTCGTCTTCCCCATTCATGCTACATGACCTGCCCACCTCATCATCCTTGATAAAAAAAATTCTAATTATACTTGGAGAAGAGTACAAATTATGAAGCTCCTCATTATGCAGATTTCTCCAACCTCCTGTCACTTCATCCCTCTTCGGTCCAAATATTCTCCTCAACACCCTGTTCTCAAACACCCTCAGTCTTTGTTCCTCCCTTATGTCAGAGACCAAGTTTCACACCCATACAGAACCACAGGCAGGATGTATAGAATAAGCTATATTAATGTATTTCGATAATAATATGGATGGACATGCCCTATATCAATGTATTTGATCTATAGGAAAAAATAAAAATGAATGAATGAATGATTGATTGAATTTAAATGTTACTGAGTGGATAGGCAGTGTGCCAGTTAAAGAAGCATCCAAGGAGTAAGAGCTGCTTTTCTCATGGAATAAATAGAAGTACCATAGAACATGTGAATTCTGAGAAAGATTTCAGACTTGGGACAGTTCTGGCAAATCTTTGATATTTAAGAATTTGGTCCTGTGTGATGGATCTGTGTATCATAATTACATTTTCCAAGTTGCAGAAGACAATGCGTAAGTGGTACCTCAAATGGTTGAAATTTATAGCGGATGTTGCAGTAAAAAGGTAAAGCTCTCTCTGTAACAGTCTCTTGGGGCCCATAGAGTTGTGAGGCGTTGAGGGTTACACATTTTCTAGTCAGTTGGATCACAGATGGCAGTGAGGTTGTCAGCATTATGTGCTGGCAGCCCTTTACTCCCCCTCGAAGGTTACTGGTACTCATTTCTATTAGTGGCTATGTTGACCCTGGGGCCATAGTGCAGTATTGCAGTAGAATATAAGTTATAAAGCTGTATTTATTCTGAGAGCTTACATTTATCTGATCCCAGTTTGCTGTGTGTTCTGAAAAGCTCACAGTTTCAGCTAGTGATATCATGATGTCTTTGGTTGATCTGTGTATAACGTGTGAATGTTTAAGGGTGTTTTGAATGACGGCCACCTTTATTGGTACAGTCTCTCCAGGTAGGGGGTTTTGCTGTGAAACACGGAAAATTGGAGGTGTTCGCTAGTTGTAGTGTCTGCTGTACATTCTCAAAGTAACAGTTGAGTCTTGACTGAGGTTTTTGTTGTTCTCCTCAGTCCCTTTAGTCGAATGTTGGGATAATATTTTGATTAGGCCATTGCCACTTCCTTTCAAAGTCTTCATTCATTGGTCAGCCTAACATTTGATACTACATAGTGTAGATACTGACAGGATTATAAAATAGCTCATGAAGAGGGAAAGAATTTAAGCAGAATATATTCTGACTGATGAAATCCCCTTTAAACTTTATGTGTATAATTTAGTATTTATTTTGGTGTACAGGTCCAGATATATTGACCAAAGAAGAATGGAATATGAAGATTAAAGAGTTCCTTTATGATCAGCTGGAAGAGGAGCGTGGACTTACAGCATGTCTGATTATCCACACATGTAATAAGAATAGAGAAAAGGTACACTTCTGTTTCATTTCTTGGTTTATTGCATATGTACTGTGAGTTAAGATAAAATTTTTGTAGGATAATTTTTCTGTTTAGAAATTATACCAGCTTCATCGCTCTGACTATATGGGCATTCTGTACTGTGAAGTAATTCTGTCTGTGCTGAAAATATCTGGGTTGTATATTTTGATGTTACATAACCTCTGTTTACTTGCACTAAGCATCATAGTTTGTACTCTTTATACTCTTTGTTGACAAAAGGCTGGTGGGATTTAAGATGCAGGAGATTAAGAATTATTGCAAAATGTTATGTCTTTATCCCCTTAGAGCACACTAGTTGTATGAACATTTTTTCCCACATCATTTACAGAAGTTTTGAAAGAAAATCGCTTTTTTCATTTTGGATTTCCACATATGTTTCAGTGTTATGTGTAGATATGTGTTTCAGGTTGCACAGTGTGTGGACACACTATGCAAGTACATACAGAACATAATCCAGAACCCAGCAGAAGAGAAGTTCCGGAAGATTCGCATGTCAAACAGAATATATCAAGACAGGGTTGCTCCCCTGGAGGGTACACAGGACTTCCTCATAGCCGCCGGGTTTAAAGTCATGAGGATACCATTTCAAGATGGAGAGGAAGACTTCTGGGTGTTTTCAGAAGATAATCTGGATAACAATGAAACATTACAAGTGAGTGTTCTCTTCTTGTTTTCTGAAATGATGATTGGGCGCAGAACTTCCTTTGAAATGTTGGTAACAATCTATAAGTGATAACCCAAATACGTTTTCATTTTTCAGATATTGTATGATGCACTACAAAGCGCAGAACCCATTTCTCTAGAGCTTGACCGTAACCTTCAGGTTCTGTTGCCCTCGCAAGCAGCAAAGCGAACTGATCTTCCTCCTGTGTTCTTCAACATCACAGCAGATGAGTTGAAGAGAGAACAGCAGATGAGGTCAGTAGAGAGATTTGTGGAGCCTCTAATTGTAGTGCTTATTGTGCTTATTAGCACACTTACTTGTGCCACATTGTAAGTACATGGTGTCATATCCCAGAAAATTTTATCCAAGTCTGGAAATATCTGGGGATTGATCCCTTGCAAAACACACTCCTTTGTTTAGAGAAACCTGCTGCCCTAGACATCATAGTATTCTATGTCTTTTGTTTAACCTATACTGAAGTAATATTTTCTATTTGTCATGGTGTCAGAAATGTTGGAAATGTATACAGCCATAAATTATTGACATTTATTAAGAAGGAAATAAACTACAAGCTTTTTAAATTTGGCATTATGCAAAACTCAATTTCATGTGCTCTGTGTGCCTAATGGGAGAACCGCAAAGGTAGGAAGGTTCTCTCCTACCATTAACATTTTATTTTATGAATGTCTGAATAAGAGTGTCCTTTTTGTGTGACTCCAGAGCCGAGGTAATTGAGAGAAGTCTGATGCTAAGGACAAAAGCCATGAGAGAGAAGGAGGAGCAACGCGAGATGCGTAAATACAGATATGCTGTTATCAGAATTCGGCTCCCAGATGGCATTCTTCTGCAGGTAATGCTTTTCCTTTGAGAATACTCTGTTTCTTATGTGAACTGTGTATAAAAGTCTGGGAGAGATTAAGTAAGTAGAAGATTGGCGGTATTGTGTAATGGGAGTTTTGTGATTCGTATGGTTTGTTTGGGACATTCCCTCTGGAGCAGGACATACATTTAGTGCTCAGCAACTTTTTTTAAGAGTTTAATCTTCTGGAATATAACACTGTACAGTCTGGTGAAAGTCAAGCAACATTCCAGAGGAACATACTGCCTCCATATTCAGGGTCGAAGAGTAAGTCAAGCAGGTAGCTGGCTTACTCTTTAGCCTTGAAGATGGAGGTGACATGTTCCTCCCGAAATGCAAGTCGGCATTCACTGGACTTGACAGTATTGTATCTCATGAGACAATATTCTTCATAGCTACTGTTCTGGAAACTTCAGAATCTGCCTTTCTTTCTTGTCTGATGTACATTTTCTGGAAGAGTTTTGGTATTCACATTGTCTCCAATTATACACTTTTTATTGTTCTTGACAAGCCTAGTTTTTGAAGTTAGCATTAAGTGATGGATACAGACATGGCAAATTCTAAATCAGTGATAGCAGTGCATTGCGAAGGAGTGCTGACATCATGAAGAATGGACTTTCCTAGAAGTGCCATTGAAACAGCTTGGATGGTAATGAGAGTATTTGTCTGACAATTACTGAGTTTTTGAACTTTATCCATCATACGGCATTCTAGAAAATAGAAAACTCAGCATTTTGGAAACTGGATGTGTGTCCATCCCCAGGTCCGGTGAGGTTAGCTCTTTCTGAGGGACGCAACAGAGTAGATGTCTCCCATCCTTCGACTGAGGATGGAAACAGATCCAGTTTCTGAAATGTGTTTTCTAGTTTCTAGAATATTGGACCACAGACAAAGTCCAAAATCCCAGTAATTGTGAGTGTTATACACCATCGTCAGAACCCTTTAGAATTTACTGAGAGTTTATGTGATCGCTGGAGAGGGCTCTGGATGAATTTAAGAAGTGAGAATTCTGTTAGCAGTTTCATGATATGTCATTATTGTGAATATTTATCTACTTCTATATTGTCTTGAATAAGAATAGTAAACAGATAAATGTTAGTGAGTTACTCCCAAGTTGCACACAAATGCATATAGATTTCCATGTCTTGCGTCTTATTGTTATGCAGTTTTAACCAGAACTGGAAAATATTGACGTATCAGTGAAACTGTTCTAGTGTCAGATTCTACAAAAATAAATTTATCATTTCTCAATTTATTAGATATGGACAGACAGATGGACATGGTGAAACTTATAGTTGCATTTTAGCAATTTTGGTGTGTAATGTGCCATGTATATGCTATTTATTGTCATTTTGTTTCAATTGCAGCAATACAGCATAACTTAATTATGTTATTTATTTGTATCCTTATTATTCCTTTTGAAATTTCAAGGTCAGAACTGAATTGTTTAGGCACTAATGCTGTCATCTTGTATTACATTTCAGGGCACATTCTCTGTCTATGAGAAACTTGATGCAGTCAATAAGTTTGTGAGAGAAAACCTGCTTAGTGAAGAGTTGCCATTCATACTCACGACTCCAACAGGTCACCGCTTGTCTGATGAAGATGCTGACAAGAACCTCGCAGATCTTCGCTTGGCTCCAGCAACAATCCTTGTATTCTCATTGGATCCCTCTATTACAGAAGAGGTGGGGAGGGGACAGCAGACTATGTATTTGAAACCAGAGATCATGATACTTGTGCAGCCTGTGTAGCTGTATTCAATGTGCTATAGCATTCCTTTTTTCCTTAGTAAATTCTGGAGTTCTAAGTATTTATTTTCATAGTTTATTGAGATGTATTTGGCTTCAAGAATAAACATGGCAAAGATTGATCACAAGTTCATTTAGAAAAATATAGTGATTCAACAGAAATTCATCTTAATTGGATGCTGATACAGTACATAATACATCTGTTCAGTGAAGTCATAATGATGCTGAAGAAAATCGTCTTCTGGGATCTGGCGCCAGATCCCAGAAGACGACTCTCTTCATAGTCATCGCCGTGAAAACCTCAAAACTTCATAATGATGCTGTTTGGGATTATGTAGATAGAGTGCGCTAGCAGAGTACTGCACATGGTAGTTCCCCTGAAATGAAGGAGAGGACAGACCTATACAGTGGGGTGGTTGGGGGTTAAAGTCTCACATTGGAATTGGAAAGTGAAGTGAGCAGGGGTGGTGCCCCAGTAAGACATGTTTTAGTTCGTCCTCAGGGCAATGTACTTGCTATAATATCATAGATAAAAAAATGTTAATAATGTAGGTACCTCCTTGTTCCATCTTGTAATTATGAAAATTAATCAATTTCTGCAGTAATTCTTTAATTGCTTCAACCATTGAGTGTTAATTTTTGCTGGCCTGATGGGTCAGCATAGTTCGGTTATTATTATAATTGGCTGCAGATTATATGGGTGGGGTATGGTTTCTGGTATGGAGTGGAAATTTTCTCATTGGTACCATATCCAAACTTATTCTGTTCCCCATCCAGCAGGTACTTCAGGAACTTTGAGCTGGCTAGGGCATGATGATAATAACTTCCCTCTTATCCCATGTAGCAGTTAAGAATGCATGGAGCTCCCACATATATATTGCACAGTAATGGGGTATGGTCTTGCTCTGGTTTCCAGGAGGGAAGCAAATAAGCTTAGTTCAGTTCTGTCTCCTGGGTGTCAGATTTCATTTTTTCTAGCCAGTAGGATGTAAGGTATCTACATCTTTATAGCTGTAGTAAATTAAGTCAAATTAGTTGCATAATGCAACATCATGTTCATTGTGGTCTCTCTGCATGCCTCAAAATCCATGATATACAGGCTTTTTACAAGTAACTAATAAGAAATCCTCTGTTTTCTTGCAACAAATATTGATGGTCTGCTTCATCATATTTATTTCTTAAATAAAAAAACCAAAGTGTATAAAATATTCACATTTATTTCATGTAATGACCAAAGATAACACAAACAATGTACTTTGTGTGACAATTTTTTTCTGTTCACATGGGAAAGATAACATTGTGATGTGCTGCAGCAGTCTTGCTTCAGTGAGAATCAGTTCTCCTCTTCTCTGCACCTTCTGTGTCTCACCACATGTCAGTTTGTGGGAACTTATATAAAGTACATTACAAGGAGAGTCAGTAAATAAGTCACAAATGGAAATAAACACAAAACATGTGATATTTGAACCTGGAAAAAACATTTATTTCTCAACATGGCCTCTGCCAACATTGATATACTTGTCCCATCGCTTTACCCTTGCATCAAAACCGACAGAATACAAGCCTTTGGCTGTTGTCTCAGCCATTTCCTCACTTCTCTTTCCACCTCTTTGTCATCAGTGAAACATTTGTCACCAAGGTGGTTTTTTAGCAGAACAAACAGATGGAGGTCACTAGGGGCCAAGTCCAGGCTGTAAGGTGGATGTTCAGAAAGTTCTCACAGTAGTTCTTGAATTCTCTCCTGGGTTGCTCGGGCTGTATGGGGTTTCACATTCTCATGCCAGTTGGCCTGGATGATTTCCACGAATTGTATTCCGAAGCTCCAACAGCACTTCACAGTATAGTACAGAATTCACATTTTTACCATGCTTCTGAAAATGGTCTAACAGTATCCCAAAATACGATAAGCATAACCTTCGCAGCTGATGGCATAACATTAAACTTCTGGTTGAAGGTGAACTGGGATGTTTTCATTGCATTGAAGCACTCCTTGATTTGGGTTGGTAGTGATGCACCCATGATTTGTCCCCAATAACAGTCCTCTTAAGCATGTTTTCTCCTTCATCTGCATACCATGAGAGATGTTGCAAGGACAGACCTATTTGATCAATTTATTCTCGATCCTTCAGTTCTCAGGGCACCTACCATGCACACACTTCCCAATATTTCAAATAATCATGCATTATGCTGTATGCCAAACTGTGGGAAGACCCTAAAGTAGTTGCTACACTGTCTGTCATTATCCTGCTGTCAGCTTGAATTAATTCTTCCACCTACTGCACAATGGCTTATGTTGCAATGAACAGGGCGGCCTGGTTGAGCATCATTTGCAACTTTCGAACATCCTTGAGATAACTTCTTGACCCAATTGTGAACCGCTTTACATGACAAAAACTTCCCACTGTAAACAGGAAACATTTCTTTATAAATATCCTTTGCAGTGAGCCCTTTTGCTCACAAGAAATGCACAGGAGAACGCTGCTGTTCGGTAGTACACTTCTCAAGCATGGTCGCCATTTTGACTACTGAAACGAGGCACGTGTGCATGTGCTTCAGCTTCCTAGACTGTAATAAAGCTGGACTGTGTTGCTACTTAGTGATACACATGGAAAACCTATTACATCCATGAGAGTTGTTTTGCTTACATTTGTGACTTGTTTACTGAGTCGCCTTTGTATTTTTCATATCCCAGTTCTCAGAATCTGCAAGACGTAATGAAACATCACAGTTAATTAGTTAGCACTTCTGCTTTGTATTGGGAAAGTCCTGATTGCAGTCTTTATGAGGTATGGATTCATAACCGTGTTAGTTCTTTCAGGTTCTGTATTAGGAAACTCACCTATGGACTGAAGTTGGTGGTTTAAATGTATTGAAAATGTAATAAGTGATCTGTTATCATGTGCCAGTTAAAGAAAGGAAATTAAAGACATGTTTCATTTAAAGAAAGGAAATTAAAATAGTCTTTCTTTATTCCCTGTGCTTAAGGCTCTTAAATGGCTGGCACATTAAATTTATTCTTGGAACTTGGCTCTGTAACGTGTGGAACACCCAGTTAGTGTTCCGTAATTTAAGAGTTTCTCGTTCTCAGAATTGACCTTGTGTGGTTGAACCCCAAGTATCTCAGGGATGAATTTCCTTCACTCAAGATTTGCCTCACATTAAATGGAGGTAGATTTTGTTGAATATACAATATAAATAAATTCAGCCTAACTTTGTTCTGATGAAGACAGATCAAGTTGAACATTACTCATGTTTCAAAGTAAAGGTAAAGTTATCACTGTGCTTATTTAATTAAGCGCTATGCCATGAAAATGTGTGGGGGACTGGAGGTATAGGTCCACACATTCTTAACCTCTAAACTAGATGGAAGTGAGCAGTCATCTTACTCCAGAGAATGGACCACCAATATCCGTTAAAATAGGAGGCTGGGTGTGCCTGAGAGCCAGTCTGGATGTTGCGGAGAAGAGGAAAACCCCATTCCCATGCCTGGAATCTAACCCCTATTCCTTGGCCAACCAGCCTATAGCATAGTCACTGTACTGACTGAGAAAATTGAGGATGCTGATTCTTGTGACAGTGGTGGGGGGATATAATTTTTAATTTATGACAAGAAAATGTAACAGTTTATTTCCTTAATTTCACCGATTCCCTCACATTATGATAACATTTTTAGTATTAATTTCCATAAAAGATGTTTCGTGATGTCCCATTGCATACCATGAGGAAGGAAAATGTATTTAACATTGATTTCTTTTACTCTGATTGTAACAAGAATGATATGAAAAATACAGACAATCCATTTAATTGACATTGGCAATGTATGCACCCATTTTACTGTCAGTATGGTTGATCTTGGCTTTCGCTGTGAGGTTAAAATATATAGGAAAATTGTAATTTGCTGACTATTACCAATATATATATAAATTTTTGTGTATTGTATAGAACTTCTTTAACTCGTTATAAATACAGGGCCTTGTGTTGGTATGAATGAAAGAAATCAGTTTATGTGAATGTTAATAAACATGGCTATATGATTTATTGTAAATTATGTCTTGCAGTTCCGCCTTTTGTACAAATATGACTTGCAGTGCCTGATGTTGAACTGGTGTCATGTTGTATATGAAAATTGTATCATGTATTGGCACCTCTGATCTAATATAAATCATGTAATCAGATCTGAATTCCTCAAGAGTTCAAACCCAGAACAATCACTGGGGGGTCTGAGGTGAACAAAGCAGTGCTGGAGTAGGTTTTTCTTAATTATTCCATAGTCAATCATTGAACCGTGAAGATTATTTGTATTACATTTGGTTTCTAGATCAACTTTCTGTCGGCTGTAATTCCACCTCTTTATTAAATTTATGATTATAAATGTATATTTATGCTGTCTTTCAGACACAATTATCATATAAACTTACACATTTTTAAATATTATTTCCGTCAGAAAATGTTTTGTTTATCCTAAGAAATTAAATTAAAAATTCATTGTAAATAAAATGTAAGAAAAATGGCAAGCAAAAATATTGGAGTGTATTATTTTAGAGCACAACATCCCGAATCCTTTAATCCGACCAAGATATACGGCCATTAATCAGGATATTGCAGCAACAAAAACGGCCGATCACAGTCCGAAAGACGTGGGTTTAAATTGTGGCAGATAAATGCCCCATTTACAGTACCAAATCTTCCACACACGATAGTCTGCTGAAACCTCGGAACCAGTTACCATTACTTTCATCCTTTGCTCATAGATGTCGAATCCAGCTACCATCTGTAGAGAAGTAAATCGGTCTTCAATGTGACTTCCGTTTTGGACCACCATTCTGCTGCAGTAGATACGTAACTGGATGTGATCAAGAAATCAAGAAGGCAGTGATCACGGATAATCCCATAACAGACGACTGTTTTACCGATAATGAGTTCATTAATTAGATTTTTCAGTTTGGTGGTGAATAATTAATCTTAAAAATACGGACTGTTTCAGTATTTTGATGATATATGTAGGTTATAGCTATTGCCATGATTTAGAATTTAACTAAATGGGTGTTATCGCGAAGAGCCTCACGTTGTGACATTCTAGTTGAGTTGGTGGTTCAGGAGAAGTTAAGCCTATGAGTAATGAATTTTTGTACGGTAGGTAATTTGTTAGCTGACAGTGTGTTTTCAGAGAAAGTGATTTGAAATTGTTCAAATTCTATCACTTCTGTGCTGTGCGATTTGAAATGTGTTCTAACATATTCAGTTCAAAGAAAGTATAGTACGTGAATGACTAATGACTATATAATAACATTTTTTTTTTCTTGCAAATTTATAATTACAGAAATGAACTTCGTGGAAGTATATTTTGTTCTTAGTAACGTATTATTTCTCGGCATTTACGAAGAAAAGCATCACTGAAGTCAGGACCACTCATCTTGTTACTTGTACTACAAACATGGTATGTTAGTGTTCTACTTACTGATAACTTAGTGGATCCTTTGTGAAGCAAAGGAATATGTCAGTTTTAAGTATATACATATCATATTTAATTGGAATAATGTCATTTAAATTTGAAATGTCCAGATAAAATTATCTCTTGGTATTTGGCTGTCTAGTTTCTGGAAGTACTGACATATGGAACTTACATCTTCACAATTATTGTTTACACTAATATTCGTTTTATGTATTTGTAGTTGTGTGATTACTTTAGAATGCCCATATTGATCAGCTCATCTAGTCTTATAGCAGATAAGGTCATATTCTTATCAGTAATTGCATATTTGGAGTCCTTTATAATGTGTACAATTTGTTTGCTGCTGTAAATATTCTGTAAATTTATAGCATATAATAGTTTGATGCCTAATATTAAAACAGTGAAATACATTTTGTATATCATAATAATATAAAATGTAATAAGCATTTCAATATTCACTGGGACAGCCCAGTCAGTATAGGATCTACTGGCTTGGTGACCAAGGAATCATGGTTCAATTCTTAGCAAGGGCAGGAGATTTTCTCCACAACATCCAAACCAGCTCTGGGGTCCACCCAACTTGCTATCCAGTGGTCACTGCGATGTATTTCCCAAGGGTAAGGCAGCCAGTGCATGATCCTGAACGCTCACCTCCCTCTAATCCTGAGGTTAAGAATACATGGTGCTATACCTCCACTCCTTATACACGTTGTGTACAAGGACAACTTTGTTTTTATAAAACATTTATGAGTTGGCAACATCGTAGTAAACAATTTAAGAACTAGGTTATTTCTTGTTACCTAAGTGAAGTTTATTGTTATGTTAACTACAGTTACGTGTGTCACAACAGTATCTTTATATTGTTATGTGTTACTATGGTTATAAGTTTATGTGTATATAAGGCATACTTCTGTGTCAAATTTCTGAGTCTTAATAAAGCAGGAGTAGAGAGAACACTGATCCTTACTTATCATTCGATCTACGGGAAACTGAGGTACATGTTAAGCCACCATCAAAAAAGTACCAGGTCTTATGCCATTAATAAGGTCCAGGAAAACCAGGCGGGACTGAAAGTAAGTGGGACACATCAGCTGTTGGTCTGTGCTGTTGATGTGACTCTACTGGGTAATAATAAAGAAACCATAAAGAAAAACACTCAAGAGTTTAATTGACGCTAGTAAGGAGGTTGGTCTAGAAGTAAACACAGAAAGCTAAGTATATGTTGCTCTCTCATCACCAGATGCAGGGCAAAATCATGACATGAAAGATAGTGTAATGGATGTTTTGAAAATATGGCACAGTTCAAATATTTGGAAATGACTATAACAAATCAAAACCTGATTTAGGACGAAATTAAGAGGAGATTGAATTCGGGTAATGCTTGCTACCGTTCAGTCCAGAACCTTTTATCTTCTCGTCTGCTGCCTAATAACATAAAAATTAGAATATACAAAATTGTAATTTTGCCTGTGGTTCTGTATGAGTGTGGAACTTGATCTCTGACATTAAGGGAGGAACATAGACTGAGGGTATTTGAGAACAGGGTGTTGAGGAGAATATTTGGACCGAAGAGAGATGAAGTGACAAGAGGTTGGAGAAAACTGCATAATGAGGAGTTTCATAACTTGTACTCTTTGCCAAGTATAATTAGAATGATCAAGTCAAGGAGGATGAGGTGGGCGGGTAGCACGAATGGGGGAGAAGAGGAATGCATATAAGATATTGTTGGGAAAGCAAGATGGAAATAGACCACTGGGAAGACCAAGGCGTAGGTGGGTGGACAATATTAAAATGGATCTAAGAGAGATAGGATGGGATGGTATGGATTGGATTCATCTGGCTGAGGATAGGGACCAGTGGAGGGCTCTTGTGAGCGCTGAGATTGTGTTGACCACACAGGACTTCCTTCAGTAAGGTCACCAATTTAAGGTATGATGTATCCCCAAAGAAGTTTTAGAAGCATCATATTAGAGGTTAATACCTTGAATCAATATTTTTCTGAGTTCATGGACGTTGTACTGCAGTTCAGTGACATGATGGAGTGTTTTGCAGCTGTGTTTGTTTATAAGACATTGAAGAGATAAAGTTTTCACACAGTTTTCTTCTTTTATTTGCAATGATAATTAAAGGAAACAGAAAAAGTAACGATTTGCTATTTGTGATTTTTCTGTGCATTTGTGTCTGAGTAAGACATATTTACTATAAGGAAATGCCAGTCATAATTAATTACTTGTTTTTAAGTTTGTCTCAGACATAATTATAAAGATGAAATTGCAATATGAATTAAAAATTGTAAGAGCTTCATGTAAAATTTGTATTATATGGTTTATGAGGGGCTACGTGGTAGTGTAGTTGGTGAAGGTACTATGCTGCAAGCAGGAAGGTCATGGATTAGATTCCCGATGAGGTTATTGAATTTATCAATTAAGATAACCCTTCCAGCTGCCCTTTGGCCCTGGGGTCGACTCACTCTCTAACGGAAATGAGTACCAGAAATCATCCTGGGGGGTAAAGGGTGGCTGGCACGTAATGCTGACAACCTCACCGCCATCTGTGAACCGACTCTTGAAAATGGGTGAATCTCGACTTTTCACAACCATATGGACCTCCATGGCCTGTTGACAGGAATGGCTTCACGTTTTTGCTTTATATGGTTTATGATCTCTGCACAAGAGTCACATGGTTAGCTGCAGTGGTGCCTTTAATATTGCTTTCATATTGATAGATAGATAAATAAATAAGTAATTAAATAAATAAATATTATGTGATTATCATATTACCATTTCTCATTTAGCAGTGACAACAAAAGAAAGAAATTAATAAAATCAGCAAGTGTTTTCATGGACATGCTTATCACACAGAAGTACAGGGACTCATAAGAAGCGGGATACCATAGGTCAGGCGATTAGTTGTTGGCTTCTCATTGCAGAGGCATGGTTTAGTTCCACGGTAGTTCATGTGGCTGAAGTAGCATTGGGTCAGGTTTCTGGTTGTATATTGCCAGTCATCATTCCACCAATACTGTATACTTGTCTGTCATCAGGGGCAGGTACAATAGTTCCATTTTATTCTTATCATGTGTTAAGAAGAGAATGTAGTAACTGTCTAATGTTGACTTAACATGTACTTCACTATCTGCAGGTGGCATACCCTAAGAGATTTTTTTAGACACAATAAAACATGTCTTTGTGCTTAATGCAGCATCAGGCTATGGAAATGTATGGGGGAGTGAAGGTATAGCTGCATATATTGTTAACATGAGGACTAGATGGATGTGAGTGTTCAGTATGATGCATTGGCAGCTTAACCGCGGAGGGAAGAGCCCCTCAGTGCCCACCGGATAGGAAGTTGTGTGGGCCTCAGAGCTGATGTGGATGTTGTGCCAAAAAATCTCTTGCCCTTTGCTGGGAATTGAGTTATGATTCCTCAGTCATCCTTTCTGTAATCTAGTTGCTGTATCAACTGAGAAATCCCTGCTTATAATCTCTGATTATAAAAAGGAGAATTATTTCACATTTGAATCATTTAATCAGAGTATTGACCACAAAACTAGAATATGTTTCTCTGTGCCAAGGGACTGAGTCCTACCCCAGTCCAGGAACTAAAATAAAAGTCATTTCTACCTGAGAAATTTGTATGACCACTACACCAGAATTAATGATGGTAGATACAGCTTGGTAAAGCTTCTCTAGTAAGCAGTTATTAAGGGAGGAAGGACTGATGTACAGTAACAATGGTATCAGAAGGCTGTCTTTACGTACAAAATAAAGAAAGTTTACCAAGCAAAGAGAAGATCATTGTATCTTTCAGAAAATCATGGTATGAATTATGTGGACTCACACAGAATAAGGAAAACCTTTTTCTTTGTGACACGTGTCTTTGGCCTGTAGACTTTCTGGTTTTCTGTCCAGAATTGTTTATACCTACAGAATGTTTGCAGCATGTGCCTTGTAGAATCATAGTTAATTGATACTCATTGCAATTAACACGAACTTGTTTGAGATAGGATATTTGGAACACCAAGGTCATGTTTGATTTTTATGATTCACCGTGTGTGAATGAATGTGTACAGAACTCTCTCCCATGTCAACATTACTAACATAAAGTCCCAGCATTATAGTTTGTGTAATGTCAGTTCTAATGAGTCATTGTCATCACTGTAGTTTTCTAAATATTTTTATAACTATCACTTTGTTGAGTGGTGCACAATTCAATTCTCTGGACTTTGATTTGTGACACTGAGCAAGTTGGCTCAATCAGTAAAACTTCTGACTTGTATTTGGGAGGTGCTATGTTTGATTGTCAGCTAGGACACCAACTATTCTGGCGTTTGTCATGGTTTCCCTCAGTACTTCCAACCAAATGGTGGGATAATACATCTAATTAGGTCATAATCACCTCACTCCACATCCTTTTCAATTAAGTATTAATCTGCCACCCTACCATTTGAGCCTGTATAGTATGAGATGCTGATAACGTTAAATGAGCCATATATAAACATAACCTTGGTTGCCAAGTATTCCATTTCAGTGTCAGCCTGACTACCAGCTAACCTTACTGAACTTTTTCATGCTTTTTGTAATATTGTATAGGTACATGTTGGGATTTTTTTTTCATTGGCGCTACAGCTCTCATTTGGGCCTAGGCCTACCTCCATGAAACTCTCCGTTTCACTTCAGTTTACTAGATCTTAGACATACGGTAGGACTCCTTGGGCAGGTGATCAGCTTGTCGCAAGGCCTCTACCTGTACACAGACACAGAAAAACGCACACAAACATCAATGCCCTGAGTGGGATTCGAACCCACGATCTTGGCATCTGAGCGAGCGAAGACAGTGCATGCCTTAGACCGCTTGGCTACCGTGACCGGCACATGTTGGGATAGTGCTTTTAAATAAGCCATGGCCATCTTGTTATAAGGCATTATCTGATCATTTCCTTTCTTCTTTATGACTTCTGTGCATGTAATATTCCCGTCAAATGACCCAACAGTCACACGGGTACCATGACTGGTTTACCCCAAATATATTTTTAATAATACCATAAAATATTATGTTTCCATGTAATTTTATGCTATGTAATCTAAACTATTGAAGCAGCATCATTAATAATGATAATGACAGCAGTAGAAATAAGAACAGGAAGAAGGAACTTCAAAGCCTAGGTCTTCAGGTCTGTTCGATTTCAGCTGTCTTTCCACCTCCTCCTAGGTCTTCCCATGTCTCCTTCTATTCCTTTTATGCTACTGGTTGCAGTTAAATAATTTACATTAATATCAATCAGTTAGTAAACTTAATTGATATCAATCCCCACCTTGAAATTGTAAGCAGTAGAGTAATTTCTTCACTAACATTCTGCATGTGTTTTTTGTTTCCCTTATCCATTGGGGTGAGCTGTACATCTGCTTGCAATGAATGTATTGCAAGTCCTGTAAAGTATTTTTCAGTAATGGCGAATGTAACATGTGCTTAGCGTCCTTTCGGGTCAGTTCATGGGTTATTTATTGATGATATGTCAACTGCTAAGGTTATATGACAGTGAATTGGAGAGAAGACATTTTGATAAATACGACATTGGAGACACTTGCACTCACATGACCTTCTATCTGGTTCATTGAAATTATTGTAACATAATCATGTTCATCCATTTGACTGAACAAGTTGGCTCAAGTGGTAGTGCTTTGTGCTTGGTTTGAATCTCAGCTGGGACAATGGCTATCTTAACTGACGTTTTGTACAGTTTTTCTCAGTCCCACTAGGCAATGCCAGAATAATGCCTTAAATTAGGCCATGACTACTTCCTCCCACAACCTTTCCAATACATTATTTATTAATAATTCTACCCTTTCTTCTCCGAAACTCTGAAGGGATTTATGTTAAGTTTTGTGTTGATGGTCACTATCTGAGGAAGGTGCCTGGTGTATTTAATTTTGGCGTTCGATACATCAGTTTAACATTAGACTTTTCATCAAAAATAGTTTGTCCAATATGAAATTTGTACATGACATAAAATATAGTTCTCTTTATTAAGATCTGCAACTCGTATCTGAAACATTTTGATATGATGAATATTCAGCAAAATATGAGGACAAATAATTTTATTTCGTCCATTTTGTTTAGCTTTGAAGCAATAAATTAATATATGCAAGAGATGAACATCAAGGCCAGTGAGGTGTGCAAAATGGCAAGGAAAACATTTGGAAAACGTGTGAACATTATCTAAGCACACTTTTTCTCCCATTTTGTGTATCCTGTATCTCTGCTATGAGAAAACACAGAATAATATACTTGGTAGTGCGGGGCATCATTTTGGCACATAAAAATGTGTAAATAGACCACTCCCTTAAAAAGTGAAAGATGTTACTCTCTAGTCATGTTCTAGGTCAGTGATTCTCCATGGCAAGCACACCTTTCACCAGAATTTCTGTTGATTTAGTCTTGAAGTATACCCTGGGTGGTGAAAGCTTTACTTACCCCTGAAGGCAAAGAAGGAACCAACAAAGAGGAGGCACTTTTTATTGATATTTTATGCATGAAATGTGTCCTAACCATAGGCATATATGGGAACTGATTGTTTCTAGCCTTAGAATTTCCTTTTTATTTTATATATTTATTTATTTATGGTTTATTTAGCGGTACTGTCAATAGCTTATACCATGTAGGGTTACATGGTAGGATGATAAGTGAATAATGAATTTGGAAAGTATATGTACAGGAGTACCACCCCTGTGATCTAGTTGTCAGAATTTCTGACTACAGATCCAGAAGTCCGGGTTCGATTCCCGGCGCTACCAGATTTTCTGGGAAGTAGTGGGTCTGGAACGGAGTCCACCCAGCCTCGTGAGGATAATTTAGGAGCTTTTTCAAGGAAATAGTTGTTCCGTCTAGAAAACCGAAATTAAGGGCTGCGGGGATTTGTTGCACCGACCACGCGACACCCTCTATCCTCTAAAGTTGTCACAAACTTCACCGACAAGCAGGGGTCGCTTGGTTGGTATAGTTCAGTTGCAGAGTACTGGCCACAGAGTTTGTTTGGCTTGTCAGGAGATATGAGACCCTTGGTTATAGACTGTCCAACTCCACTTTTATATACAAATGTTTAGATTTTCTCTGTATAGTCCCTGTATTATTTCTTGTTTGTGAGAGACGTTTGTTGGGTCATGAACTTGTTTAATTATTCTTCTTTCATTACATAAAACTGAATGGGTTGCTGTAGTTGTAATGTTCTTGACTCCCATTTGGGGGTTTGCTCTGTTCACATCTCAGCCAAAAGCTGGAATTCCTACCTGAAATTTTTCATAGTTTGCCTCAGTCTCTCAAGGCAAATGCCAGGATAATAGCTTGATTATGTCATCATCATCAGGACTGTCAAATTAGCATTTTAAAGATGATTATTATTATGCCTTACATAACACAGCCTTTGGCATTACATTGGCATGGCAACATAAAATTATTTACTGCTGTCCTTCTCATACTACAGGTTAATGTTACTTTGGACTGTTTGAAGGGTTTATAATTATATTTAATTTAAATCACTCGGATATTTTAGAATCTTGTATGTAAATTATCCTTTGTTACTGGTTGCTCCTGAAGATGGCTAGTTAAGATCAAAACGTTTTGTGCTGTAAGACTGTTTAACCATTAACAAACTGGATGACAATTTTGTACTTTCATATAGTAATTAATACTGCTTAATCCTAAGTAATGTGTAATGTCTTTCCAGAAGGCTGATTAGAAGAAATGACCCATCAGTGGAGCTGTTTGGAAGCATTACCAATTGGTCTTGTGTGGCTCATCTTACTGTTAATTGTGTTTCCGTTCAAACTTGGGTGGAGATCAGTAAGCACAGGCTGAAGCTTGGGACTCTGCTGCAAGATAATGCCACGAGAAAATGATGATAGGCCAGAAGGTGGGGCAGGAAGAGGAATGGCTGCTGAACCAGTGGCAGCAGGAGCAATTGGAGAGGGCGGTGGTGGTAACGCTGGGAATGGTCCTCTCCCTGTTGGAGATAACATTGGTGGAGGAGCAGGCAACAACAATACCAACAACAATAATCGTACTCGGAATAACAACAATCAGAATCCCCTCATCAATGTTAGAGACAGGCTTTTCCATGCTTTGTTCTTCAAAGCGGCCTTAGCATATGCGCGCACTTTCCCAAGACCTGTGAGAAGGTTCCTTGAATTTATAGTGTTATTAAAGGTAAGAAATGTCATGTATGTAACACAATGATTGACATGTTTTAACACTTTCCACAGATATATTTTAAAATTTTTAAAGACTGAATTCCTTCTGAATAACATATACAAATTCAGTTCATGTCTCACAGGAAACACATTACATCACAGCTACAAAGCCCAGCTGGCTAATGCTGATTAGGGAATCATTAATTTTTTGTCGTGAGAACCATATGGAACACACAAATACACTTTTTGGGCAGAATGCAAAATTTTAGCATCTAAAGTGGGTGATAGAGATGCTAACCACTGGGATTGAAAGAGTTAAGTTCTATCAATATTAGAGTTAATTTTACCGACCACACAACACGTTTTTTATTTACTGTCACACTACATGTTTTGACCTCAAGAGGTCATCCTCAGGTGTACGAACACAGTTGCACAATCACACACAATCACATTCGTTTTTCCACTTATTTTGATCCTGTATCCTGTTCAGGTCCACGCTCAATAATATGTGTCAAGTTCTTCTTATAAAATATAAGTTAAAAATACAAATGTTAAAAGTTAAAATTTAAAATTTAAAATTTAGTTCACTGTAACTAGTTATATTATTACCACTTGGTTAAAAAGTTCATGAATTAAACTTCAGCTCATCACATTGACTGCACTTTCACTTTTGAAGGTCTTGTTGTTCTTCCGCGTCCTCTGATGTTGGATCTATTACGTTCCTTGTCATGATGATTGAGTAGCCATCATAGAATGAATTTGATTATTTTTTTTATGTCATTACAGGCTATCGCTGCCTTTTTCGTGCTGGCATACATACATGTAGTATTTTCACGCTCGCCTACAAATTGTCTAGAACATATAAAAGATGACTGGCCTAGACAGGGAATTTTACGTGTTGAAATACTTCGTAATGGTGCTGATGACTACAATATTGAAAAGTCATATGCCAAAGAAGAGAAGCTTAGGCATGAAAATGTTGGTGATCTGAGTAGTGTATTAGGAATTCTTGCAAGAGATGGGTAAGATATGGTTTCTTATATGGTTTTTTAAAAAGAAATATATATAATTTTACATGACCTTGGCACACCCATTTTTCAGTACATGTTATGTCACTTCTTTGTAATTTGTTCAAGAAGCATTACTGATTTTTACATACACTAATATTTATAATGTCTGATACTAATGGTGACTTTTGGCCCTTAGGCCATGTATCCTTATCTATTTCAATTTCTCATCAATCCATGAGATCATTTATATTTTTGGCTTCTGGGTTATGACATACATTGCACAAAACTCAAAAGTTCATTACTGTGTTTGCAAAAACCCACCCCTGGTCTCTGTTCTAAGCCAAGTGAATTCATTGCATACCCATCCTATGGATGGGATCTGATAAAATGCTACTGAAACATGTCTATGATAGACCCTTCACGATCAGATTTCCTGGTAGAAGTGAATGGAAAGAGGGGTTTCATCCCAATGGAAAGGGGGGACTAATCTGGTATACAGATGGTTCCAAGACAAAGGCACTGGAGCTGGGGTGTATTGTGATGGAACGAGGCTGAAGCATACCTTCAGCCTTGGTCAGTACACAACAGTATTGCAGGCAGAGGTGTATGCCATTAAGGCATGCACACTTGAGAATTTAGATACGAACTATAGAAATAGGAACATCTATATCCTATCAGGCAGTCAATCTGCAATTAAAGCATGTGGTACACACCATATCACTTCAAAATTGGTTTGGAACTGCCACCAATCCCTCATACAGCTGGCCAGACATAACAGAGTTCAGCTTATGTTGGTGCCAGGTCATGAGGCTATTGCTGGGAATGAAATGGCAGATCAGCTGGCAAGAACAGGATCTGAACAGCTGTTCACAGGACCCGAACCAGCTTGCGGCATCTCAATTGGATTTGCCAAGAAAGCGATCAGGGACTGGACTAACAGATATCACAAAAAACAGTGGGATTCCATAACTGGACTCAAATAGGCAAAAGGATTTATATCAGGACCCTCTGCCAAAAGATCAAGGGACCTGTTGAAATTAAACAGATATCAACTCAGATGGGTGGTAGGATTACTAACTGGACACTGCCACTAAAAGGACACCTTTCCAAACTGGGACTGACAGAGGACCCAACTTGTAAGAGGTGCCCACAAGAAGATGAATCAGCCACACACATCTTATGTGATTGTGAGGCTGAGGCTTATTTAAGATATCGCCACCTGGGTCAATTCTTCATGGAACCAAGTGACTTTTATGATGCCCCTGTAAACAAAGTCCTACATTTCGTTCAAAGTGTAGGATTAATAAAGGGTTAATCTAAAGGGGAAGCACAGTAGACCATTGAAGGTCGCAGTTTGAGGGCCAGTTTCATAGCTCACCCCTCATACTCATACTCAAGTTCTGTAAGGCCCATTTTAATATTCTCCTATCTATGCCTTCATCATCCAGCTGGTCTCTTTCCTTCAAGTTCTACAACCAAAAAGTGAAGTGGAATGGAATGTGAGATTCCGACAGAGTTGAATATTTGGGTTGCAGTCCTCTGGGATATGACACCGTGTAGTTTTGTTAATGGAGACAGGCATCTGAAAGGATCCTGCTCCTTCTGTCTGCATGACTATGTTTAAAGATGAAGACAGCAGATGCCTCCAGATGTCATTGTTTCTGATCCAAACTACATGGTAGCACAGTCCAGAACACTATAATCTGAAGCAAACATTTATTTTCTGTTTCCCTGAGCTTACACCTTACAAATTTATATGTTGTTTGATAGGTTTGTTAATATTGAACCATCGGCTGTGGAGGAGGTTGCGCAAGACCCAAATGGTGTGTCAGAAGCAAGTTTGAGCAACAGCAGTATAGATGGAAAGCTGCTGAGTACAGACGTTGGCGGTAGTATTCTTGCTGTTGGGGAGGAATCCACTAAACTTAGGATAATGAATGTCTCCGAAAGTAAGTATGGATTAATTCTTCCAAGTCTGTTTTATTTTCATCTTCATTCCTACCTGCATCATCATTCAAATGTTGCGTATATAACACACTGACGCACTCTTTAAGAAAATATAAAGCTCATCATGATTGTGACCTTTCGGGATGTGGTGCTGTATATTTCAGTAGGTAGATGTACCAATATTACAGATTTACCTGCTGCATCAAACTTCTGCACTGAAGATTCAGGCTGTGGGCTCATCTGAAATGTTGGTACCTGCCAATCAAATTACCGTATTTACGCATTTATAGGCCGCATATTTTTTGCCAAAAATTCAAGAGGAAAACTGGGGTGCGGCTTATATTCGAAATATTCGAAATCACACTTCATTTAAAAAAAAATTATATTCATAATTAGTAATACAGGGTGTTCTACTCCTGAAATAATATTCCAAGAAAATTATTTTTTCTATAATTTCTGTCTGAAAATTGTGCTGCGGTCTATACACGCACACGGCCTATACATGCGTAAATACGGTAGTTGGTGTCACTTCTCGGAAGACCATAATCTTGACTCTCACTGTAATGCCCTAGCGGCGCAGGGGGGGAATGGAGGTATCCCTCCCGCTGCTGCCGCCGCTGTAAT